CAAGTTCCTTACTTGCTCTAAGAGCAATTAATTTCATTCAGTTTGTAAAATACACTCGATAAAATACTACTTTAGAATGTACAAAATTCTTGTTTTAGTGTTTAAAATGATTTTGAGGTTTGAAAATTATTGTGTATCTTTTCTTCACCAGCCAAATGGGGATATAAAGTATAAGCATGCTTTTACCATATATTTTCTAAATTGTAACATTTTCAGAGTCTTAAATGTAATGTTCATTAAGTCTAATTTGTTTCTCTTGAAATGTGTTCAATTGGCAATAAACCTTTTCAAGAAACAGAAATTATAGTCCTTTACCACTAATGTCTCATTAACTTAGTTATTTGTATCTTTAAGGGAAATTCATTATTTGCATGAAAATGTTTTATTGAAGAGGGAGGTCTATTTAGTATTGTGTATATTCTGACTATGAAAGGATACATTACTTTTTAAATCTCCAAATCTGAATATTAAAAGGTAGCAGAATGTTCCGTCCTAAATGACGTATTCTGTAAGATGTCCTGTATCCTAGTGTGCCTGGTCCAGTTCAATTTTATACCTGTTGTACAAGCTAAGTATTAAAAAATTCTCCTTTTACCCTCAAAACATTTTTATCACCTTAATATCAGTCTCTCACACTTCTGTACAGTTGCACTTCTATTCTCCTTACCTTGACTTCTCTTTCCTAAATGTCTATCTGGAAAAAATCCACACTGCTGCCCAATGTTCTATTTCCCCATAAAGATTTCTTTGCACTAAAGACTTCTGTCAATCATTACACTGTATATAAACCTTTATTACAGCAATTACCTCACTGAATTATACTGTTTATATGCTTGTCTTCCACTACAGCATGACTTTCTTGAAAGCAACACTGTCCAGTATTCAATATGGACTACATAGAGTAATCCATATAATTCTCAATGAATGAATAAATTTACCATGTACTCTACTACATAAAATGTAATTGTTACATATATGTATTCTTAAAAGTGTTAACATTTTGAAGAACACTGACAATTTAAATCAAATATGACTTATCACAACCATAAAAGAATTGGTGGCATAATTCCTTTCCTATCTTCAAACTAAATGGTTATAGTTTGTGCCTATAAATTCCTAAGTGAGTTTTAACATCTGTATTTTGATATATGCTGAAACATATAACCTAGTATGTGTATATCTATTATAGTAATGAAAAGAAATCTTATGTTATAATCAGATTAACATGGCAAGTAGATATCAATTGTTTTAATTTAATAATGAAATATATGAATGTCTGTTCCATCCTTTTCTTTTAAAATGAATGCATACTTTTTGCGGAGTACCAGGAATCAAACACACAACCTCATGCTTGCCAGGCAGGCATTGTGCAGCTGAACTATATCCCCAGCCCTTGAATGCATTTTATCTTGTCCAAATTCAAGTGAGAGTCCATGTAGCTGGAATATTTAAGAGTTAGACTACAATGACAGAAGGTACTTTAAAATATTCCTTATTAATTTTAAATCATCTTTATTGAGCTAATACAGTTGTTCTCAAATATTTATGTACATAAGTAACCCACAGATTGTTGAAAAGATGCTCAAGATTTGATGGGGAACACAAATCTGCATTTTTAAAAGTTAGCCCACTCGATTCATTTCCATGTAAGTTTCAAGCATTAACTGTGAGAAACACTGGCGAGCTACAGGATTCCTTAAAAGCAAAAACATAGGAACAGGTTCACAGTAAAGAATTATTATTTATTACCAAGTTCCTGTTATCTCCATGATAGAGATAAACAGAGAGAGGAACAACAGAACAATTGTAAAGTCTAAAACTGACGGGTCTGAGATCTTATCCCATTCATATATGTACATAGGTATGTGTATGAATACCTATATATAAAATACAAGTATATTACAAATAAGTATAAATACACCCCTCTGTACCTATGTGGAATTTGCTCAAGGATCCCCAGCACATGCCAAAATCTGTACATTTTCAAGTCCTTTGTATAAAATTGTGTTATATTTTCCTATAACTTAAGTACATCCTTCAGTACACTTTAAATCATTTATAGATTACTTATATTGCCTAACACAATGTTAATGCTATGAAAATAATGGTTATACTGTATTGTTCAAGGAATGATGCAAGGAAAAGTCTGTCCATGTTTAGTATGGGTACAATGATTTATCCACAGGTGGTCTAATCCACAGCTGCAGATCTCATGTAAATGGAGAGCTGATTGCATACTTACAATCTCTATAATGTTATATATTATAAATACATTTTACATGTTATTATACATAACAACAGGTTGCATTTCCTGAGAATTCAGTAGAACAGAGACTTGGATGTAAAACCTAGTTGCATTAAAGAAAATAAAGAAATACAACCTTTCTTGGGGCTGGGGATTTAGCTCAGCGGCAAAAGCGCCTGCATGGCAAGCGCAAGGTCGTGAGTTCGGTTCCCGGTACTGGAGAAAAAACAAAACAAA